TTTTGCGTTATTTTAATTTACAGTAATTACTGTAATTGCGCACTTATTGGCTCTGTGTTTGTATTTTCCGAGCCCAGCAGAGTCTAAAGTGCTCCGTGAGCAGCAGAGACCGCGCGGCTGACGAACACCAGTTGCTTTCTGTTTCTGTTCCTGTCGGAGCCGCGCGCGCAGCCGCTCTGTGGAGAGAGCCCGCGAGCTACGCGCCCGGCAGAGGGAAACATCACGTGGTGACACATCTTTACGACTGACGTCACCGTCCCCATCTCCAAGCAACCCCTCCATCAGCACTCGCGTCACCGTGCGCCCGAGCCGCGCAGTTGCCCAGCAACCCTTTCCTTGCGCTCGGGTCCGGCCTTGCCTTGCACCCAGCTCGAAGCTCTGACGCGGGTGTGACGTTAATAAGGTGGGTATCAATTTGTTATGGTGGCGCGGAGAGGAGGGAGGAGGAGGAGGAGGAGTTCCCCCTGTGAGTGCCGAAGCCCTCAGCTCTGCATTCCGGCGGAGCTTACAGGCACACACACCGGCCGCAGCCTGGTCCCGGCCTCAAGACTTGTTGTAGAAAGTCAAAGGAAAAAGTTACCCCGCGCGTGTTGCCCGCAGTTTTTCCTTTTTGTCTTGTTGTTTATCCGGAGCTCTGTTTGTGGAATGGTTGACGTTTCGTCCGAGAGCTGCCTGAAGTGTGAGAGAAGGTGGTTTATATCGTTGTAAGGTAAGAATTACTCTCGATAACTCACATTTTACTGGCTCATAGTCACTTAGTAGGAAAACTGGTAATTTTACAAATCAGCCAAAGTCTCTTTCTCTCTGTCTCTCTCTCTCTTTTTAGTTTTCTACGTGTATATATATATAGTATTTTTTTTTTTTTTACATATTATTCAGCCTCTTTTTCTTAATAGTCGTGAAAGTGTCGCTTTTTCTTATAGGCTAGTGAAACCTATTTGTGTAGATCTCTTTGTACTCAATGAATGAATATCAGCGGGCTTGTTTATATATGTTGCACGTATTTGTACACCTGTAACGAGATTTTAGTCATATTTCCAGCTTAACTCGTTTATTACACCAACAATGTTTCGATAAAGTGATCATATAATAATTTTATTTCGTCTGTGTTTTCACACTGTCAGGACCAAATGCTCGTTACACGCGGAACAAAAGCTTCTAGCAAGTGAATTTTTACACAAATGCAATAAAATGAGTAATGTGCACCGCTGTCTCTGCAGGTACCAGCCTTCGTTTATCACAGTGCTGTAACCCCAGTCTGTTGGTACGCCATGGTAATCATGACCGAAACCAACCGGGGAGCTCAGTCGAGTCCTGCCCAGGGGAGGCCGCTGCAGGTCGGCTTCTATGAAATCATCCGGACCCTGGGGAAAGGGAACTTTGCAGTGGTGAAACTGGCCAGGC